TAGGAGCGGCCGCCGAGACCATATCACACCAGTCCTGAAAGACCTACATTGGCTCCCAGTATGTTTCTGAGTACAATTCAAAGTGTTGGTGATGGCCTTGAAAGGCTTAAATGGCCTCAGCCCAGTATATCTGAAGGAGTGTCTCTACCCCCATCGTTTAGCCCGGACACTGAGGTCCAGTGCTGAGGGCCTTCTGGCAGTTCCCTCATTGCGAGGTTACAGGGAACCAGGCAGAGGGCCTTCTCGGTGGTGGCGCCCACCCTGTGGAAGACCCTTCCATTAGAGGTCAAGGAAATAAACAACTATCTGACTTTTAGAAGACATCTGAAGGCAGCCCTGTTTATAGAAGGTTTTAATGTTTGATGTTTTACTGTGTTTTTAATAATTATTATAATTATTATAATTATAATCTGTTGGTAGTCGCCCAGAATGGCTGTGGAAACCCAGCCAGATGGGTGTGGTATAAACAACAACAACAACAACAACAACAACAATTAGTCCAACCCCCTGTAATGCAGGGATCTTTTGCCCAATGTCACGACCCCAAACTACCAACTGAACCATCCCAGGTCCAAGGAGGAGAAGGCAATCAATGGCTACTAGCCATGAAGACCACCATCTTCGAATTGCTGTTGCCGGGAATCACGAGGGGATCAGGTCAATGGCCTATGTAGTCTGGCATCCTGTTCTCACAGAGGTCAACAGGATAGATGCAGCCCGTGGCAAACCAGCGAGCAGCATTTCCTCTCCCGTCCTGCGGTTTCCAACAGTTGGAATTCTGCTGAACTTAGACGAGCCACCAGCCTGATTCAGCAGCCGGGTTCTTCTTGCGAAACGAGGGTTTATTCATTTCAAAGGCAGGCCCAAGAAAGGGTTAAACCTCCCCCATCTGAAAAGGGTGGTGGTCCCTCCTCCCCACGACGCATCACCAGCCTCTTCCTCCTCTGGGAGCCAAATGTAAAAGCGCGATGGGGCGGGGAGGAGGGAGGATGCCGTCGGAGAGCCGTCGGAGCGAGGCCAAGAGCTGATGTCCAACCTCTTCCCAGTTTGCATCGGTGACCCAGGCAACGAGATCGAGCCAAGAAGGCTGCTTTGCGCGCGGCTGCGGCTGGACAAAAAGGCTCGGGAGAGGACAGAGAGGGAGAGAGGAAATGCCACCGCGCTGCGCCGGCTGCTGGCCTCGACGGCCGTTTCCTCCTCCCGGGTACCGAAAGTAGCCACGAGAGGTGTTTGCCGGGCAAGCAGTGTTTGCTTTTTATCTCCTGCATTTATTTTTTATTTTGGGAAGGAAAAGCTTTTCCTCTTCTTTAAGGAGCAAAGCACTCGACGGCGATGGCGGTGCAAGCGGCGGCGGTTCACCCGCACCACCATTTCATCCCGTTTTGCTTCCCCGGCGCCGCGGGGCTGGGGGATTTCGTCGACCTGGAAAAGAGCTACGAGGACGGGGGGACCCTCTTGCTAGGAGGCGGAGGAGCCGGAGTAGCAGGAGGGGGCGACCCCGGGGATTTCAAAGAAGCCACCCGGGACCTCCTGAGCTTTATCGACTCGGCTTGCAGCAACATCAAACTAGCCTTGGACAAGCCGGTGAAATCCAAGCGCAAAGTCAACCACCGGAAATATTTGCAGAAGCAGATCAAGCGCTGCACCGGCATGATCGGGGGAGCCCAGACGGCTGCTGCAACGCCCGGGAGCCAGGAGGCGTCTAATAATAATAATAATAACAGTAGTAATAGTAATAATAATGTGAGCTCCCAGCAGCAGCCACATCCTGCTAACAAGAGGACTCCGGCTGGGACGGCGCATGGCGCGGCATCGGCGTCCGCCTCGCCCCCCGGCGGCGCCGCGGCGCACTGCAAAGCGCCCCAGAAGCGCGAAGCCAGCGCGCTGCAGAGCAAAAGCCTGGCGGCGCTCTTCGGCTCCGTGCGCCCGTCGGGCTTCGATCAGGCCGTCGGGGCCGCTTCGATCGCGCCGTCGGGAGAGAAAGAAGGCGGCCCGGGTCCCTCTGCCTCCACCGGCGGGAAGAAAGTGCCTCTGCGCAACCGCAACCTGCCCCTTTCCTTCTTCACCGAGCCTGCCGGGGCGAGCTCCGTCTCGAAAGACGCAGCGGGCCCCGTCCCGTCGGAGGAGCTCTTCGACCTGCTGGCCGTCCCCGACTACGGCGCCCTGCTCCCTCCCGCCGAGCCGGAGCAGCCGGTCTTCCCCAGCAGCCGCTTGCAGCCGCCGGATCTGGGCTTGGAGGCGCCTCTCTACGAGCCCCTGCACCCGCTGCCCCACTTGCTCTTCTCCGACGCCCCCCTGCGGCCCCTCGCCGCCCTCTACGCCGCCCCTTCGGACCCGGCAGCGGCGCCCGAGAGCAGCAGCGCCGCCGCGGCGGGGGCGCACGTCCCGGCCGCGGCCTTTGCTCCCTTCTTCCCCGAGTGCGCGCTCCCGCCTGCGCCGCCGGCCATGCCCTACGATTACGCCGCGGGGTACAGTAGGGGGGTTCCTGCTTATTCCAGCCTTTAGAGGAGGGAGGTTGAGCTCTGAAAGAGAAGGGGGTTGGAAGGTTGTGGGGATTGACAGATCCCCCAAATTTCAGAGGCACTGGCGCTTTTTTATTTTGGAGTTTAATGGATCCCATAGAAAATGCCTCGAATAAAGGGCGTCTGTTAAGGGCAGAAATGGCTCTGGAAAACTTCCAGTTCCTGCTTAATAGCCCCTGGGCAGATCTACACCTCAGCAGTAAAGGACATCAGGAGAGCTCTGTAGCAGGATCAGGCCAGGGGGACCCCATCCAGTCCAACATTTTGTGGGTGCCACCCAGATGCCAGGGGTAAACTCAGTGCAGTGATCCCCACCCAGCAGCTGGCATTTGGGAGGCATGCTGCCAACCCTGTGCATGCCTACTTGGAAGTAAGCCAAGGGTTCAGTGAGGCTTACTCCCAGGTAAGTGGTGCATAGGATTGTAGTCTTTTATCGTTATCCCCTCTTCCCTTGGGCATATGGAGGACTTACCATGCAATCCTAGCTGCGTCTACTCAGAAGTAAGCGCTGTTTAATTCAGTGGGTCCACTCAGATTGTGATGTTCATTAGAAAGCAGCTCAGGGGGACCACAGAACACCAGATATCTTTAACCCTTCCTTTCCCTCCCACGATTCTGATGAAAACCATCACCGCCAGGGATTCTTTCACTGTGATTCCTGCATTGCATGGGGTTGGACTAGATGCCCCTTGGGGTCCCTTCCAACGCTACCATGATACGATTCTACGCTATGAGACTAGGAGAGAGGGAGGAAAAATCTCCCCTAAGGCTAATTGGGCGGGATTTTTTTATCAGAATAACAGCCAGGGTGGGAAGGGTTAAACCCCCCCCCCACTGCCGCCCTGCATGTTGTGGTCCCGATGACCCCCCCATGCCCCTATGATTAAATAAAACAAATCCCTGACATGCCTTTTAGCAATGTTAAATTTGGCTCTCGTTAAATTGGCATAGCAACCGATGTCTTTGTTTAAGGAGCCCCTGTGAGAGCGGAAGTCTGGCGAGGGATCCTAGCAAGGATTTGAAACTAAAGTTACCAGGATCCTTTGGGTGGGATGCTATTAGGGTTGCCATATGTCTGGAACTCCCCGGACACAGTCGGAATACGGCAGTCGGTTACTGTGTCTGGGCAGAAAAGTTCAGCAGCTTTGCCCAACCCCCCAAAAAAGCTCAAAAACTTTTGTGTCCGGATTTTCGCCCTAGAAACCATGGAAGTTCAGTGAGCACAAAAGCCTGTCTTGCCATACTTCTAACCGGCCTCTATATAGTTGTTGAGGATCACAAATTGAGGGAGAGTGCTATCCTGCAGACATCTGGTTGGCCAACTCTTAGAGCAGGTCGCTGGACTAGATGGCAGGGCCCTGGTCTGATCCAACAGGGCTCTCCTGCTCATACGGTGGTTATGTTTTGACACAAGCACCATCTGGTCCATGGGTTGTCGATAGAGGCAGATGCATGCCAGCACTGAGTAATGTTAGAGGTTGCTTGGTGTGTTCACATACATATTTTGCTTGTTGCCACATGCGATCAGTTCTTAACTATCTCCTGATTGTCTTTGGTCATCCTGCACATAAAAAGGGTTTTGGGTGTTTTTTTGGGGGTGAGATTCTGAAATGAAAATGCCAATTGTTCTTGCTTCCCCTGTTTATTATGCCTCTTGGTTTTCGCTCCTGTGAAATCCTGATTCCCAGCGTCCCGCTTGTTTTAAAAGCTCCCTGCAAGCAGAAAGGAAGGTCTGCTGGCCAAAGGCTAAAACAGAAACCTGCAACTCACTTGAAAACCTACCCAAGAGTTTAAGGCTGTGGTTCTCTGCTTGGTTACCTGGGAGTAAGTATTGACGAACTTACTTCTGCATACACCTATGTAGGATTGGGGTGGCAGAACACCTGCTTTGCATGCAGAACGACCCAGGTTCAATCCGCAACATCTCCAGGTTGCACAGACCCCTGTCGCAAACGCTGGAGAGCTGTAGACAATATTGACCTAGATGGACCAATGCTCTGACTCTGTATAAAGCAGGCTCTGGTGTCCAGCACATCTGATTTATAACATTCTTAGGCTCCCAGTGCTATTCAGGAATATGCAGAATACCTCCCCTCCTGAGCTGACCTGATTTCTACTTACTTAACTCTGAATATTTGGAGCGAGGGTGGTGGGGGAGAAACCCACAGGTACACCTAACACATGGGTCTGCGTGAGAAAAGTGTGCACCCCTGTCGCATGTGGAAATGGTGCGCCACTTTTGCTGCATATTTGCAGTGCAGTTTGGAAGCCACTGTAGGGCCTAGCTGGCACTGCCACGTGGCACACATATTTGTAGTGCCTTCGCTGGATGGGTGCTATAAATTGTAAGGGGAGATACAGGTCTGTAGGCGTGTGGAGGACGCTTTGCTGGAAGCTTTGACCAGCTGCAGATCCCTGGCGCATGGCCTGGTGTGTTTACAGATGCACCTCTCTCCACACTCAACTGGTTCATTGGGAGACAACATGGCGTACTCACGGAGAAACCCATTTGCCGTGTGAAGGAGGGCTATAAAACGCCACTCGTCTGGTCGCCTGTGGTCAGTTAAGGATTTCCTCCAGGCGACCAGGTTACGAAAGCTGCTTCTTTCCTGTTTTCGATCGCGACTAACATAGGTATGAGTGATCGGATGGGAATTTAAGCATTTGGGATGGAAGCCTTTGTCGGTAACGTGGGAGACCTGTTTCTGAATCTCCTGACTTATTTGATTTTCCTTTCTAGCAGGGTGGGTAACCTGTGTGCCTCTACATGTTACTGAACTACAAGTCCCATGACTCTTGGCTGTTGTGGCAGGGGCTGATGGGAACTGTAGTTCAGCAACGCATGGGGAGGCACCGTTACCCATCCCAGGTTTAACCTAACTGCACCTGGATTTTCTTTTCCATGGGGCCAACACTAACTGGGTTTGTGTGAGTTGATTTTAGATTTGGGGGGAATGACGTAGGGGAAAGAATGATAAACTCTTCCCACAAAACTGAAACCCCTCTCATCTCTGTATTAGACATCTTAGATTCAGGCTGCACATGACCTAGAATAAAGATGTAGAATTCTGGACTGAACCAATTCAGAGTGCAGGGGTGCAGGTGTGTGAAGTAGTACAGCGGTACCTCTGGTTATGAACACTTCAGGTTACAAGCTCTGCTAATCCGGAAGTAGCTGCTCCTGGTTGCAAACATTGCCCCAGGATGCGAATGGAAATCGTGCACCAGAGGCGCGCGCACATCGGGAGGCCCCATTAGTGAAAGCATGCCTCAAGATAAGAATGGTTTCAGCTTAAGAACAGACCTCCAGAACGAATTAAGTTCAGAGGTACCACTGTATGTACTTTTGAAAGTTTCCCTGCGAAACAAAACCACAATAAGCCCTCTGCATAGAGCAAACCAATACCTAAGAGCGAGGTTTAAATTCTTTCTTACCCTGATGTGCTGGTTTATTTCATCTGTGTGCTATTCTCCCCCAACAAAGGTGCCCGCCTCCCCCCCCCGGGGGGCCAGCTGAAGTGGTACATTCCAGGATTTTACTACCTTATTCTGTCCTTAAAGTGTAGATTGGCTGTTATTGCTGTCCTAAGGTGTGTATACACCAGGTTGTTTTTCATGCAGGTGGAATGCGCACGATTAGCTTTCCTCCTATAGCCTGTAAGAAAACGGTTCACATCTGAAGCAGCCATAATTCAGGTCTTCCTTTTGAGTCAGAGATGACTGCCAGCTCCAGTTTCTTTGAAGTATTCAGGTTGCTAGTGACACGGCAAGCCCTCTGCCCACACCAGGTCCTTTTAGGGACATCATTCTGCTAGGAACGCCTGCCATTCAATTGCGCTCCATTGAAATGCATGGGGCGGAAGTCCTTTTACGAAACGCCTGTTTCAGTGAGCACTTCCCTGTTGGATTCTGCCCAGCGTGGTTTGCCTGGTGCCATAGAACTTGGCAAACGGAAATGGCCTTCACTGAAAAGACAATCAATATACCCAGTGGCTGTTATTGCTATTTTTTCTGGCACAACGCTTCCCCCGCCAAAGAAAAATAAATGTACTCTTGTCGCATTGAGAGAATTAAGAATTATCTGGTCAGGGAGGATGCCCAAGGAACAGAATTAATTGCCAACCGATGGATTGGCACAGCGATGAATGAAATAGTGTTCATATGGGTCTGAGGTGCTCTTAGTAGTGGCATGGTGAATGGAATATGCTGGTGAAAGGATGGAGTCCATCAGCCATTCCGTAAGCCGATCTTGTGGTATTCCGCTCTGCCTTCCCACGGTGGCCAGCAGCTTTTTAAAAGAGAAATTTGCAAAGTCAAGGAGCAAATACGCTTGCAGGGCCCACCCTGAACCTGGGAGTATGTGATGAGTTGGCAAAAGTGCCATCGAAGGAGAATTGGGCGTTGGTCAAAAGGGCGGGACATGTGGCAAGCGGGCATTAAAGAGGACCTTGGGGCGTGTCGCACTTTGTGGATGACCCCTCGCTTGAAGAGTCAGGCATTGAGCGCTTCTGATGGGGCACTTAAGAGAACTCAGGAAACACATCTAACTAGGCGTGCACACCGAGTCCTATGCAACAGTGACTGTCCTGGAGAGACAGAGAGAGGTGTCCTTCCATTAAAAGATGCCTCTGGAAGATCAGCAGGGAACCAGGGATGTCCGTGTTGCCATGGTGGGATGCTGCAATTCTCCTCTGCATCTCTTGTTAGATGCATCTACAGTGGTACCTTGGTTCTCAAACTTAATCCCGTCTGGAAGTCCATTCCAAAACCAAAGCGTTCCAAAACCAAGGCGCGCTTGCCCATAGAAAGTAATGCAAAATGGATTAATCTGTTCCAGACTTTCAAAAACAACCCCTAAAACAGCAGTTTAACATGAATTTTACTATCTAACAAGACCACTGATCCATAAAATGAAAGCAATAATCAATGTACTGTACTGGTTGGGGGGGGGGGGACCATATCCAAGAGTGGTTAAATTATGACACTGATTTTACACCTCCTTAATCCTGATGACATTTCTGTGCATTGTAAAACATATTTAATTCATTTGGGCATTATTTTTTACTGAATGTGAGAAGTCCCTGGTTATATTTTTCCTTAGGGCACAGTGTTTGTTCTAACTCCTAGTCCAGTGATCAATTGCTAGATGTGTCTGACGTTAGCCTGTTACGACGGGGGCTGTTCTTTTGACGGCAGCCATGACTAATTGTACGTGACTTTCCGATTTTGTAAGTAACTCTCTTTTCATCCCTGAATTTCGCCGGACCTTTCAATGCGAATCCTTTCCCTTTGCCCCGTGAATCTGTTGAGTGCCGGCCAAGTTATTCTAATTTAAAGAAACAACATCTACTCACACCTATTGTTACTAAAACGTGGGCCGTGAGCCTCAGGCAGGGTTGCTCTCGAGTAGACCCTTTAGCGCACGCTGCCCTAAACACGCTTCCTAGGGAGTGATATCTGCAGGGCTTAAGTACGACTTACTCCTGAGCATACCTGTTTAGGCTCGCCCTGTTAACAACGTATCGGAAGATACTGCAAACAGTAATACCCAGACAAGTGAATGTCTTGCTCTGCGCAGCAAGACAAAAGCAAGCTTGGACCATCTATGTCAGTGGCAATGCGCATGGAAGTCGTCGGACTGCTTTCATGGACTTTCCAAGGCAGTAAAAGCAAATGTCGTTGTGTTCTCTTGCGTGCAAAATATAATTTGACGATTAAGTTATGTTCATTAAAGTCTATGAGATGTCATAAAACTTACATGGCGCACAGTGCTTGAGAGATGGAAGGCTGTATTGGGCAATATGGTTTGAATTCTTCCTTGGGGGTATTTTTGTTTGGATACAGAATAAGATAAGAAGAAGAAGAGGAGTTTGGATTTGATATCCCGCTTTATCACTACCCGAAGGAGTCTCAAAGCGGCTAACATTTTCCTTTCCCTTCCTCCCCCACAACAAACACTCTGTGAGGTGAGTGGGGCTGAGAGACTTCAAACCACACTGGCTCGCCTTATTCCCTCTTTCCATACAATCTATAGTTTTATAAATCTCTTCTATGGTTTGTTTTTTGTTTGTTAATCTTTCTCTTCCACCAAGACTAAGAAGGCCCAAATCACTCTAGGTTTCACAGCCTAGTTGTTGCCACTGAAAAAATTCTTCTCTTGAGTGTGACAGAACCCAGGAGCAAGTTCTTAGTCCATATTTAATTAAGTTATTGTATAATAATAATAATAATAATAATTTATTTATACCCTGCCACTCTGGGCGGCTTCCAACAGAATATTAAAAGAATATTAAACATTAAAAGCTTCCCTAAACAGGGCTGCCTTCAGATGTCTTCTAATGTAATGTAATTATTTATATACCACCCTATACGCAGAGGTCTCAGAACAAAATCAAAATATAAAACCACAAAATATGTAATCAAATATATAATATTTACTCAGTTCCTCCAGGGTTCTAGATTGGGTAGAATGGAACTTGCGGTTCTGTAGATGATGCTGAACACCCCATCATCCCAGATAATTGATCATGCTGGCTGAGGTTGATGAGAGTTGGGAACCCAACATCTGGACAGCCATAGGTTTTCCATCCCTGTTCTAGATGCTTTGGTGAAGATAAATCAATATTTGATCATTTCCAGATTCAGCAGTGCCATCTAGTGGGGCTGAAAGGCTCTTTGATATTGAGGGTTTTATAGAGGAGGAATGACCTCTGGGAGGAGTGCAGAGAGAAGAAATGCCATGTTGCATCACCACAACTGGACACCTTCATCTGCCCCAGCTGCAACAAAATGTGTCCCTCACGTATCGGTCTCTACAGCCACAGCAGGCGCCATGATCTTCTAACAGCTTGACTTCGCCTCCAAAGGCACACTCCTCCGTTGTCTCCTGAGACAGGCGGATGCCAACACATTTTATGTGTCTGCCCAAATTCAGCAACAATGATCTGAGACCAAACAAAATGACAGAGATCTCTGGATCGCCCATCTCAATTGTCCTCTCGTTTGGTTAAAATGTGACCGTGTGTAGTAAGGTAAATGCAAAGGGACCCCTGCCCATTAGGTCCAGTCATGGCCAACTCTGGGGTTGCGGCGCTCATCTCGCTTTACTGGCCGAGGGAGCCGGCGTACAGCTTCCGGGTTATGTGGCGAACCAGAGCAGCTCATGGAAACGCCGTTTAATTTCCCGCCAGAGCAGTACCTATTTATCTACTTGCACTTTGACATGCTTTCGAACTGCTAGGTTGGCAGGAGCAGGGACCGAGTAACGGGAGCTCACCCCATCGTGGGGTTCAAACCACTGACCTTCTGATCGGCAAGTTCTAGGCTCTGTGGTTTAACCCACAGCGCCACCCGTGTCCCGGTAGCCATCAGTAGCTTTCCACAAATCCACAATCCTCTGTTCAAGCCATCCAAGTTGGTGGCTATCCCTGCCTCTCGTTGGGGGGAAAAATTGCATAGTTCACACACTGAAGCAGCAAGGCAGCTTTTATTTTAATTTATTTTAAAGACACATGAAATGACACTGGGTTTATCTCCTAGTTTGGCCGCCAGAATAGAGGAGCAGCAATGTCTCTGAATACATGCTCAGCTCAGGGTTTTGTTTTCGGTACCAAATCCTTTTGCATGAAAACGGATGGCTGTTTCCCCCTCCCAAAGCTTTCCATATTCCTGAAGTCTAATTTTGGGAAGTGGCAGGGATGGTGGGGGCTTTTCATTGTTGCTATACAGTTGGGAGCCAGAACTCCCTCCTTCCAGCTTCTCAGAATATCTTTACCTACCATCTTCCTGTTCAGGCTGTGCCATGGAACAATTGGCTGTTTTTCAGTACAATGGGAGGCAGCCATATACCCCACAGCCGTATGAACCGACCCAGACCCTGCGCTTGTCTTCTGAGGCCCTTCTCTATGTCCCCCACCCTAGGGAAGTTCAGAGGGTGGCAACATGGACCTGGTGGGGCTGGAGTCCATAGATGGGCTTCAGAGGGTCTGTAAACCAGGCACAAAATGATTCACCCTGCCCCCTTCAATTTCCTTCCTGTTTCTTTGGAAATTGCCTTTGTGGGGGGAAAAAGAAGTTGGATGTTTGAAGGTTCAGGACAGATAAAAAGAAAGAAAAAAGAAAGCACTTCATACACTACAGAATTAAACCATGGAACTGTCTCCCACAGGAGACAGTGGTGGTCACAAATTCAGGTGACTTTGATAGGGGAAGAGACAAATTCATGGAAGACAGGGCGATCAGGGACTACTAACCATGATGGCCGTGCTCTGCATCTAAAGCACTGAGCCTCTTGGGCTTGCTGATCAGAAAGCTTCCAGTGCGAAACCCCATGACGGGGTGAGCTCCCGTTGCTCTGTCCCAGCTCCTGCCAACCTAGCAGTTCAAAAGCACACCAGTGCAAGTAGATAAATAGGTACTGCTCTGGTGGGAAGGTAAACAGCGTTTGCGTGCGCTCTGGTTTCCGTCACAGTGTTCTGTTGCACCAGAAGTGGTTTAGTCATGCTGGCTACATGACCTGGAAAGCTGTCTGTGGACAAACTCTGGCTCCCTCGGCCTGAAAGCTATATGAGCGCCACAACCCCATAGTCACATCTGACTGGACTTAACCATCCAAGGGTCCTTTACCTACCCTTACCCTTGATTGAAATAAATAGGATTTTTTCTGACTGATCTTGCTTTCAGTAACTTAGTTCAGCATTCATGAGCACTAGACACATTGGTTTCTAAATGAAACATGGGATTTTAAGGAGTCTGGTGGATCCCCTGACGTATACTCTTTTAATGTTTAATAGGTTATTGTATTTTGGTGTTCTGTTGGAAGCCACCCAGATTGGCTGGGGAAACCCAGCCAGATGGGCGGGGTATAAATAATAAATTATTATTATTATTATTAACCAAAATTGTGCACCATCTGTATAGGAGTAATCGTGACCATGCATTAAATGTTACTAATTAAATTAATCTAATACTTCCCTGACTACATGAAAATGAAAAGTTTGAGAGTTACATCAAAAGTATGAAAATTTTTGTGGAGGCAGAATTGGATGGATGGTATTCTCTCCTGTTTGTTCCAGCTAGGACAACAGATCAATAATGAGTGCTGCAACCCCACAGTCGCCTTTGACTGGACGTAACCGTCCAGGGGTCTTCGACCTTTTTACTTTTCTCTGCTTCAGTGGTTGGAGGCAGCAATTATCCGAGTACCAGTTGCTGGGAAACACAGGAGGAGAAAGGGATTTTGTGCTCAAATCTTGACTGGAGGCTTCCTGTTGGAGCAATTTGGCTTGACACTGTGAGAACAGGATGCTGGACCAGATGGGCCACTGGCCTGATCCAGCACACTCTTCTTATGTGCTTATGAGAAGGGTGGTGGTGTCGGCAGGAGAGTTCGGAAGGTCAAATAGAGCAGCTTGGAGAACTGCATTTGCCCCCAACTCAGGCCAGAGGTCCTCTATCCATGCCACTGAGGTCTCCATCCAATAAGGCTGATGTGCGGCCGCAGACTCTCAAGGAAAGCAAGAGGTTCTTAAAGGTAAAGGTAAAGGTACCCCTGACCATTAGGTCCAGTCGCGGACAACTCTGGGGTTGCGGTGCTCATCTCACTTGAGACCGAAGGAGCCAGCATTTGTCCGCAGACAGCTTCTGGGTCCTGTGGCCAGCAGGACTAAGCCGCTTCTGGCGAACCAGAGCAGAGCACGGAAACGATGTTTACCTTCTCGCCAGAGTGGTACCTATTTATCTACTTGCACTTTTGACGTGCTTTCAAACTGCTAGGTTGGCAGGAGCAGGGACCGAGCAACGGGAGCTCACCCCGTCACGGTGATTCGAACCGCCAACCCTCTGATCGGCAAGCCCTAGGCTCTGTGGTTTAGACCACAGCGCCACCCACATCCCGGTAAGAGGTTATTAAAGGTAAAGGGACCCCTGACCATTAGTTCCAGTCGTGACCGACTCTGGGGTTGCGGCGCTCATCTCGCTTTATTGGCCGAGGGAGCCGGCGTACAGCTTCCGGGTAATGTAGCCAGCATGACTAAGCCGCTTCTGGTGAACCAGAGCAGCACACGGAAATGCCGTTTACCTTCCCCCCGGAGCGGTACCTATTTATCTACTTGCACTTTGACATGCTTTCGAACTGCTAGGTTGGCAGGAGCAGGGACCGAGCAACGGGAGCTCACCCCGTTGCGGGCATTCGAACCGCCGACCTTGTGATGGGCAAGCCCTAGGCTCTGTGGTTTAGAGCACAGCATCACCCACATCCCGGTAAGAGGTTCTTAGGAAAGTATAATTTGAGAGTTGGCTCTATACTGCCCTCCTCCCTGTTGCCATCCCATTTAACATCCTCTTCCCCTGCGTGTTTTCTCGTAATCTCTCCAGTGGGTGAGCCAAAGCGGGCCATTAATTAGCCATTTTATCAAGATTCCCTTTCCCGGACGGAAAGGTCAGTGGTCTTATGAAGTGCTTGCGAAAACAAAAGCCAGAGAACAGCAACAAAGCCTGGGATTAAGACAAGCCCTTGAACGGGTCGCCTTCCAAGGACAGCACGAAAGGGAACATCCTGAGCTTGGAAAGATGATCGGTCCTTACAAATGAAAATGAAAATAAATAAAATGGGCATCTAGGGTCATGAGGTTCACTTAAAACCAGTGGCACAAGCTGTTTCCCCTCCTTTAGACGTTGTTTTTGTAGGATCAAAAGATCTGCCTTCCTGGATCAGAGTGAGACTTGTTTGTGTCATTTCACGCGATGCAAGGGAAGGGGTACATCAAATATAAAATCAATTCCAGGTGTTAAAAAAAAAAAAGCCCATTAAAACAACACAAAATCAATCAGTATAGTAAGTCATTCTCTTTAGTATAGTAGCTTGACACATCACAACCCCTCATATTTCAAAGTCTGGTTAAAGGGGTAAGATTACTTTAGATGGCACTGAAAACTAACTACTGCGGAGCCAGACAGATTCCAAAGACAGGGAGCCACCACTGGGAAGGCCCTTTAGAAATACGACCCTCACTTGGCAATGAACTAACAAACACATCCCTTGCAGATCTTCATGCCTCAGCAAGTTCACTCAGGGTGAGGTTCTCTTTCAGGTAACTGGATCCTAAGTCATTTATGGCGGCCGGCATGGGCTCTTCAGAACTGGTTTCATATGGGTTTGGCAGCCCAATATTCATGCTGCAGCTTCCAAACCACTTTCATGTAAGGCTGGGTCTGCGATAGGAATCTCGCAGCAAAATCTGGGGCCTGCTTTTTCTTTTTAAGCGTTCCACGTTGGAATGAGCTCACCCAGTGTAAAGGGGCTTCAAGGCAGCATTAGCCATATCCAGATTACATCAGCACCCTGCCGCCAGTTCTGAAAATAATACCAGAGAGGCCCATCAGACTTCAAGTAGTTTAGGGAGGTTTTTTAAAAAAAGTTTGATGTTTTATTATGCTTTTAATTTGTTGGGAGCCACCCGGAGTGGCTGGGGAAACCCAGCCAGATGGGCGGGGTATAAATAAATTATTATTGTTGTTGTTGCTATTATTATTATTATTATGGCCTGAAGACCCAGGGTGCAGGGGAGCATAGGAGGTCACCATACATTGGCAGTGTGTCCAGGGCACTTGGGCTCCGTGGGAAATTCAGTCCCTATAGTTCCCATGTCCCCTGAATGCCATGACACTCAAGGCAGCATCCTCAGATGCTCAAGGATGCGAATTGGGCCCTTTCTTCACCATCCCATCACCTCAGGCCTCCTAAGGCAGTATCATTCAAAACTGGGTCGCCAGATGTTGGACTACAACTCTCATCACCCCGATCATTGGCTCAGCTAGGTGGGTGAAATATGCTAGAGTCCTGCAACAATTTCATGCTCTTTATTGCAGCTTGTGAAACAGTGATTGAATTTCCCCCCAAACTTCAGGCTTTTATATACAGTGGACGCTCAGGTTGCGAACATGATCCATGCAGGATACACATTCGCAACCCCGCAGTGGTGCATCTGCACATGTGCGGGTTGCGATTTGGCGCTTCTGCGCATGCGCAAAGCGTGATTTAGCACTTCTACACATGTGCGACTGCCGAAACCCGGAAGTAACCTGTTCCAGTATGGACTACAGCAATATCAGGTAACCTGGATCGTCCACTTCATATGTTTCTGAGATCTCTTTCCGGCGTCCCGAGATGTGTCTCAGGTGCAGCCCTACGACTCGAGTTCGCCCAGCCTTCAATTGCTAGACGAGCATGGAGCCGAGCCATTTCCTACACCTTCCACCTATTAGCATCGGATGCTCGAATTAGAGGTGGCTTTTCCAATCTGATCCTAAGAGATATCCATAATTCCCCTTGGAAAACTACAATTAACCTCAAATTCCGCTCTCTTCTCAATTTGAATTGTAAAACTGTTCTTAACTTAGAGTGTATCAGCCTGGTGGCCCTACCCCTAATTAAAAAGAAACTACAGCAACTTGACTTCTCCAACACAGCTTCTTGTGCAAGAGGACCGTGTTCAGGCCTAGCCCTAGCTATTCCACCCCCTGAAGGGATCCCTCTATACTGCTTCACAATTTCTTCGGAGACTAAGCGAAGGGCTTTTACCTGTGCCCGTCTCAACTGTTTCCCTACAGCAGTTCTGTCGGGTCGCTATTCCAGAGTTCCCATCGCAAACAGAACATGCTCCTGTAATGACACGGCCCTGGAGACTATGGAACATGTAATGCTCTTCTGTCCCAACTGGACAGATGAAAGATCTCGGTTTTTAACTCCCCTCGTGAATAAGTTCCATCTCCCAATCCAGCCTTGGATAGTGTCCCTTTTTTTGCAGGATTCTGATTGTTGGATTACCGAGATGACAGCTAACTTCCTGCTTAGTGTGATGAAGAGGAAAGCGGCACTTACTTCTTCCTTAACACCACAGCTGCAGTCGATACGCCGCACAACCGAACGAAGTTCCAAGTAGCCTTATTGTACAAGGACAATCGAGTTAGGACTAATCTGAGGAGCTGAAGGACCCTTCAACGGTCCTCCTCCAGCCTCAGCAGTTTTGTTTTTTTTTTCACTTTCTTTAAGTATTCGCCCAGGACGATATCTACCTTTACCTCCCCACCCCCATTTTATGTTGTTATTTCAATGTATATCATGCTATGGCCACTCGGCTAATGCAATAAATCTACTAAAATCTACTTCCGGGTTTCGGTGGTCCATAACCCGAAAAAACGCAACCTGAAGCGTCTGTAACCTGAGGTATGACTGTACATTATTTACACAATGAGTCCTGTCTGATTGGTTGATTCTGCTTCCCTCCTGGAGCCTGATTGAAGCCAACCAGTTGTTGCATTCTAGGATCCAACTTGCCTATTGTTCTAGGATCCAAGCTTAGTACATAACAGTGGGGATGATGGGAGTTGTAGTCCTGTAACATCTATGGACCTAACCTGCTGCTTGGAACACCCAACGCTTGACTCTTATTCTTGTCGCACGGCTTAGCAGCTTCCTTTCCACGCACTCCATTGCGGTGCTGCTCCCATTCACTTCCGTGGGGCTTGAATGGGAGAACTTACTGGTTTTAGAACCATCTCTATCAATTCAGGTTCCAAATCAGTTATGTCAATATGGTTCCTGGCAGTTCCCTAGCTGGGCTTTTGATGCAGGCTGCTGCACGGTTTCTAATAAGCCAAGGGAAAGGAAGGAAGGAAGGGGCAGTCCAAAGACTGGGTTGTCAGTTCACTGTGGATGAAGACAACACACACACACATCAAACATGCAGTCCTGCTCTGCAGAACTCACTTTTGAGTAAATAAAACTTTGAATAGAACACCTTCAGGAATGCCTAGGGACAAAGTCCTTTGGTGCCACCATGTGGCTACATCTGAAAATTACAGCCCACTTTATTTTCAGTTCCAGATTTAAATAATAACAATTCATTCAATGTGAGGTTTTAAGGCTTGAACTGCATGTTATGAAGAAGGCAAATGGCAGCCCCAGGACGAGTCCTGCTTCCCCTGAGTTCAGTCTACTAGTGTCCTGTTGTCATGATGAGGTCATGACGCCAACAGACTGAGTAGGGAATGAGAAAATTCACAGCACAAGGTTGGAAGAATACGTTGATGTTGGTTTTCCCCTGTTCCCCATTTTTTTCAGTCTTAAGTTCGGTCTGCCACATGTGACTGGCTGGATAAGGAAGAGTGGTGGGAGTCATCTGCCTAAGAGCCGCCCCCCAGGAGGGCACAGAAGATGACGACTTAGGCTGGTTCTACACTGACTTCCTTAACGTTATTGGAACGATATTAGATACCTTGTTCTAAAATGTCGCTGGGCATACTTGTAAATTAAAGGGTTTCTTACCTCTGCCCCCCCGTCAAAACGGTTATCTCCCTAATAATATAATAATAATTATTTATTATTTATACCCCGCCCATCTGGCTGGGTTTCTCCAGCCACTCTGGTGGCTTCCAACAGAATATTAAATCACAATAACCTATTAAACATTAAAAGCTTCCCTATTGCTAGTCACTGGTTGCTCTACAGCGCCCTCTGGTGTCACATTTTTACTAACTCATTATGAATGTTAAAAGCAGAACTTCATGACCCCATATGGTTATCGAAACCATTCCTTAACGTTAAAAACCACAAGTGTCGATCCGCCCCTAGATCCCGGATCCTGGTGGTGGGACACTGAAGAGCAGTCTGCAGAACTGGGACGAGGTGGGAGGTGATAGAAGCAAGGGGGTTGAGAGATCAAGAGGAGTCAAGCGACTCATGGAATCATAGTACTGTAGAGTTTGGGATGTCAGTACGCCTTTCAACCGATGTCAGCGACTGGACTTGATAGCTGGTTCTGCCCCTACTGGGCAAGGTGACTGGAGCACTTTCAGAGACCTTCCAATCCTGGAAAGCAGGTCCCAGTGCACTGAACCCACAAGTGTGCATTGTGAGCGCCAGACTCAGCAAAGTATAAATAACGCAGAAACTAGCTGTGAAGCATAACTCCTTTTATTTCTAATAGCTACTACAAACTAACAAACTACAGTGATACCTCGGGTTAAGAACTTAATTCGTTCTGAAGGTCCGTTCTTAACCTGAAACTGTTCTTAACCTGAAGCACCACTTTAGCTAATGGGGCCTCCTGCTGCCACACGATTTCTGTTCTCATCCTGAAGCAAAGTTCTTAGCCCGAGGTACTATTTCTGGGTTAGCGGAGTCTGTAACCTGAATCGTATGTAACCTGAAGCGTATGTAACCTGAGGTACCACTGTACAGAAATGCTTTTGTTAGGGAAAATGGACTTGCAAAGCTGTTTACAGTGGTTCCTCGGCTTAAGAACTTAATTCGTTCTGGAGGTCCGTTCTTAACCTGAAACTGTTCTTAACCTGAAGCACCACTTTAGCTAATGGGGCCTTCTGCTGCCGCCGCACCACTGCTGCGTGTTTCTGTTCTCATCCTGAAGCAAAGTTCTTAACCCAAGGTACTATTTCTGGGTTAGCAGAGTCTGTAACCTGAAGCATCTGTAACCTGAAGAGTCTGTAACCCCAGGTACCACTGTACTGACTTGCACGAGTTTACATCTCCCACTCAGCCATCTGGTCACTACATAGATAAGACTCTCTCCACACACAGAGTCAGGCAGTCAGTCAGGAGCGGAAGAGCAGTTTCCTCCCCCTCCTTTCTCAAAACATCAGATCAGGAGATTCTTGCAATGGGAGGGGTGAAAATATCAACATGGACAGGACCACAAGGGCTGTCTGCTCCAACCTCCTGCAATGCAGGTATCTCTCACCAAGCCTTGGGGCTTGAACCCAAGACCCTGGTATCACATGCTTGTTCCAGGTAGAACAAGGTCTTCCAGAACAGAGCTAGAGGCTGAGAGTCTCAACGTGATTGCAGACTCAGAAAGGAGTCAGAGGTTGCCCTTGCTCTCCAGTCCTGTTGGCTCTCCTCCCCCTCTAACACCCCACTTGAGGAGCATGCTGCACGTTGCTGAGCAACAGGAGGGGCCCATCCCCTCATCCATCAGCCAAAATTCAGATAATTGATCATCTTTATTCAGCTGGCAGCCCTAACTAGTGTCCCTTGAATTGTTCATAATAAATATTTCTATATAAAAAAAAATTAAAAAAATTTCCAGCAGCACCTTAAAGGTAAAGGGACCCCTGACCGTTAGGTCCAGTCGCGGACGACTCTGGGGTTGTGGCCTCATCTCACTTTATTGGCCAAGGAAGCCGGCGTACAGCTTCCGGGTCATGTGGCCAGCATGACTAAGCCGCTTCTGGTGAACCAGAGCAGCGCACGGAAACGCCGTTTACCTTCCCGCCGGGGTGGTACCTATTTATCTACTTGCACTTTGTGCTTTCGAACTGCTAGGTTGGCAGGAGCAGGGACTGAGCAATGGGAGCTCACCCCGTCGCGGGGATTCAAACCACTGACCTTCTGATCGGCAAGCCCTAGGCTCAGTGGTTTAACCCACAGCGCCATCCACGCCACCCAGCGTCCCCAGTAGCACCTTAGAGACCAACTAAGTTTGTTATGGGCCCAAGCTTTCGTGTGCATGCACACTTCATACACTGAAACAGAAGTTACCAGACCCTTTTACAGTGGTACCTCGGGTTACATACGCTTCAGGTTAGATACACTTCAGGTTACAGACTCCACAAACCCAGAAATAATATCTTGGGTTAAGAACTTTGCTTCAGGATGAGAACAGAAATCGTGCTCCGGCAGCGCAGCAGTGGGAGGCCCCATTAGCTAAAGTGGTGCTTCAGGTTAAGAACTGTTTCAGGTTAAGAATGGACCTCCGGAACGAATTAAGTATTTAACCTGAGGTACCACTGTATATAGTGGGAGCATGGGGTGGGGTTTTTCTCAGGAGGGTAGTAGAAGATGGGTAATTGACTCAATGGGTATGGTAAACCTGTTGACGACTGTTAACCGACTGCAATTAGTCCTACAGGAAAAAGCAAGGGATAGTATGCAGATGATTAGCATATGTAATGAGACAGGAATCCAACATCTCTATTAAGACCAGGACTCTCCATAGTTTTCAGTTTAGTGATAAGTTGTAATTCAGCAACTTCTCTTTCAAGTCTGTTTCTGAAATTCTTTTGTAATAAGACAGCTACTTTGAGATCCTGTATTGAATGTCCTGGGAGATTGAAGTGTTCTCCAACTGGCTTCTCTGTCTTGTGATTCCTGATGTTCTAGCCGAAATATTTCTAGCCATTTAGGAATTGTTTCGAGTGACGTAGAGGTGCGGGAGTTTACTGTCTTAGGAAGAACGATCCATGCATTTGAGGATGCTTAGCCAGCAACTCCCAGGCTCTAGAACATGCCCACCAAGACCTCCTTAAACCAAAAGTTGGTTCATGGCATGAGTAGATCTGCTCCTTCTGCAAAGCACCCCAGAACCCAGAAAACAGGTCCAAAATGGACCTCATCTACAAGAATGGCCCAGGCAAAATCCCAGTCCGAACAGGAAGTCCTTATGGTTCTTCTTGTTGAATGAGCCAATGGCCAGCCTGGATGAGTGGAGCTACTTCCATACCTTGGAACCCTTTACACCTGGGGGGGGGGGAATCTATTGCCCATCAGGTATTGCTGGACTACAACTCCCATCATCCCTGCCTGTCGGCCAAGCTTGGAGTGGGACCGATGGAAGCTGTAGTCTGCCAACATCTTGAGGTTTGCAGGCTCCTCACTTGTATTAGAACCTGCAATGTCCTTCTGGTGCCGGCTTGCTTTGAACAGCTGACGATCAGAAGAGGCAGCTAGATGTGCTTGATGGATACGATTCTGCTGTGAAAAATGCTCCAGTGGTCTTTAAAAGTTAAATCTGTGTTTACTTCATTCCATTTGCTCCCCCTCTGCATTATCTCTCTCTCTCTCTCCCCCCTTTAAATGTGCTGGGACAAATTGTTCTGAAAGTCTTTCCTTCTAATAAATTCCAGGGAAAGGGCGGTTGGACTAAAGTCTAATTACTTCTCCTTAATTGGCATGCGCCACCTCAGGAGGCCCAAACCAACTGCTGATTATGAATTGTCCTGACTTTGCTAATGGCTGCACTTCCTTCTTGGCAGGTGATATTTACGAAGCCAGATGGCGACAATTACCATATTCATAATGCTGGGCGCAACTGTTTAGGAACGAAATCGCAGAGCCATGTTTCTCTCTCTCTCTCTCTCTCTCTCTCTCTCTCTCTCTCTCTCTCTCCCTCCCTCCCTCTCTCTGTGTGTGTGTGGAGAGAGAGAGAGAGAGAGAGAGAGAGAGATGGAACGAGCTGTTCTCATAGATTCAGCTCTTATACGGATCAAGCAGGCTGTTAGGAACAGGAAACAATTTTTCTTAAGCGTCCATCAATATAGGCCTTCCCACATCCCATAACCAGGCTTTCTGGGTGCATGCACGACCCAGGAGCTATGGGCAAGTGTGTGAGCTTCCTCTTAACTGGGGGATCTGAGCCAATGTGGTGTAGTGGTTAAGAGCGGTAGCCTCGTAATCTGGTGAACCGGGTTCGCTTCCCCGCTCCTCCACATGCAGCTGCTGGGTGACCTTGGGCCAGTCACACTTCTCTGAAGTCTCTCAGCCCCACTCACTTCACAGAGTGCTTGTTGTGGGGGAGGAAGGGAAAGGAGAATGTTAGCCGCTTTGAGACTCCTTAGGGTAGTGATAAAGCAGGATATCAAATCCAAACTCCTCTTCTTCTTCCTCTGGGGGATCTGTGCTGAGGGATGTGCTGGGAGCAGGGGCTTACCTGCGTATATTTACACTGCACGTCTAAGTCATGCCCAGACCTTCCAAGTCACCCTACTTTTCAGGGACAGCCCCAGATTTATAGAAACCATCACAGTTTCTGATTTGATCCCGAAATGTCCTGCTTTTCCTTGGGATGGCTCTATTTTCATCAGAGAATTATTGGAGGGTATGGAGTTATGTGATCTCCGAACCAAGGAGATAAGTAACTTAAAAGGTAAAGGGACCTGCACTTTGATGTACTTTTGAACTGCTAGAATGGCAGGAGCAGGGACCAAGCAACGGGAGCTCACCCCGTCACAGGGATTCGAACCGCCAACCTTCTGATTGGCAAGTCCTAGGCTCTGTGGTTTAACCCACAGTGCCACCTGCGTCCCTATTAGTAACTTATCCAGTGCTATTTTTCTAGAAAAAGAGGTGCTGGAACTCACCACGAACACCTCCCTCGTTCTCTTATAATGGCAATGAAACCCACCAAAGAGGTGCTGGAACTGAGTTCCAGTGAGTTCCCCCTGAAAAAAAGACCCATATGATTTGATACCAGTTGCCCATGTTCACTCCCGGCAGCTCCTTCCAGTGTCTAGCTATGATACTTCTGGCTGCAGAGAATAGGTGGGCTGTAAGCTCTTTACAGTGGTACCTCGGGTTAAGTACCGTATTTTTTGCTCTATGAGACTCACTTTTTCCCTCCTAAAAAGTAAGGGGAAATGTGTGTGCGTCTTATAGAGCGAATGCAGGCTGCACAGGTATCCCAGAAGCCAGAACAGCAAGAGGGATTGCTGCTTTCACTGCGCAGCGATCCCTCTTGCTGTTCTGGCTTCTGAGATTCAGAATATTTTTTTTCTTGTTTTCCTCCTCCAAAAACTAGGTGCGTCTTGTGGTCTGGTGCGTCTTATAGAGCGAAAAATACGGTACTTAATTTGTTCTGGAGGTCCGTACTTAACCTGAAACTGTTCTTAACCTGAAGCACCACTTTAGCTAATGGGGCCTCCTGCTGCTGCGCCACCGGAGCATGATTTCTGTTCTCATCCTGAAGCAAAGTTCTTAACCTGAAGCACTATTTCTGGGTTAGCGGAGTCTGTAACCTGTAGCGTATGTAACCTGAAGTGTATGTAACCTGAGGTACCACTGTACAATTAAAGCGGGATTGGCACTCTTGCACAATAAACCAATCGACTTTTTGCTCTAAGGAAAATAATGGGGAAATGTTTGTGCGTTTGTGGGCGGGGAAGTCGGGGGGGGGTTTGAACTGCTTGACAAAACAGAAATAATTCTCAATAAACAGTAGATGTAGTTTAACCTTCCCACAAACTTTGTGCAAACAAATCAGTCTGAATGCTGAATAAACAGGTTATCTGGAAGCAATCTTAGTCCGATCTGCTTTATAAAATGGTGCAGTTCTGCCCTGTCTCCATCAGATGGTGCTAAAACATTTACATATTCATTTCAGACCAGCTGCAGAAGTATTTGAGGGTCCATCAACAGCTGAATAATTTTATTGATCGTTTGAAGAAGCAATCATTAAAAACTAGCGCGCATACATTATCTAAAAACTACAATTTGTTATTACAATAGGACATGGAGCCGGAGCAGGTTCAAATATACATAGTGAAATAGGCTCAGGCTATAGGTAAAAACTTTTCCAGGAATAGGTTATCCAGGAAAACTGTGGACTACAGCACATAGACGCTTGCTGAAAATGAAAATAAGGGAAAACTTTTAAAAAATAAATGTTCAGGTGTTATATGACCCCTGTTATAATATAAAGTAAACACAAGGTATTGTTGTTCCATGTGTTGAAATTGCAAAAGATTAGAAAAAGGGGTGTGGCAAAAAGTTTTGGAAATAATGTGAGTTGTAGGTGATGAGATTCTGTTAGATTTGGGGTTTTTGTGTTTAATTATAATATAAAGTAGTTATGTTCTGTGTCAGTGGTTCCAAACTGGTGGTCCGTGGACCCCAGGGGTCTGCGTAAACCACCCCATGAGGTCCATAGCACATGCCCATCAACTGTCTGGGACATCCCGTTTTTGGTGGTCATGCTTTCGTGTGAGAGCACGGTGCCCCAAAACACGTGAGATCGTGGCTGGATGCGTGGGTCATGTGACTTGCGCAGGCACAGCCTGGAAGACACATGTTCTGGTTTTGCGCTGGGACCTGTTGGAGAGTATGGTGGCACTGGAAAACGAGCGAGGTCCCAACCAAAGAAGAATGGCAGCTTAAACTGATGGAATATGCGCAGCTTGCAGATCTAACTTATAGAATAAGAGAACGAGAAGAACATACATTTAAAGAAGATTGGAAAATGTTTATTGTATACAGTGGTACCTCGGGTTACATACGCTTCAGGTTACATACGCTTCAGGTTACAGACTCTGCTAACCCAGAAATAGTACCTCAGGTTAAGAACTTTGCTTCAGGATGAGAACAGAAATTGTGCTCCGGAGGCACGGCAGCAGCAGGACGCCCCATTAACTAAAGTGGCGCTTCAGGTTAAGAACAGTTTCAGGTTAAGAACGGACCTCCGAACATCACCACCCACCCCCACCCCCACTCATCTTTCCCCCCTCCACCTCTTTCCCCCTATTCTTCCTAATGTCTCAACAAGTGAAACCAATTTGGTTTTTTAAAAAAGTATTACATGGGGGAAAAAATACGAGAGAGAGACATTGCACATACCTTTGTAAATCAAGAAAATCTTTAATAAAAATACATAAAAAAAAGAGAAGGGACCTCCGGAACGAATTAAGTACTTAAGCCGAGGTACCACTCTATATGGGGGAGAAATGTGCACACTGGAAAATGTTGGCAGCATTAAGATAAATCCAATGGTGTAAATAAGTTTCGATGGATGTAATAATGGAATACTGAATGATCTAGTTCGGGCGGCCTCAGCCTTGGCCCTCCAGATGTTTTGAGACTACAATTCCCATGATCTCTAGCTAGCAGGACGGGTGGTCAGGGATGATGGGAATTGTAGTCTCAAAACATCTGGAGGGCTGAGGTTGAGGAAGTCTGGTCTAGTTTATATAAAATATGCTGGGATTTATGCTATGCAAAATGAACCATGGAAAGAGAAGAAAGGAAGTCATTGATATTTTAAGGTTGTTTAAATGAATATTCTAGATTGTAAAACAGAAAATTTAATACACAGTGGTACCTCAGGTTACAGACGCTTTACGTTACAGACTCTGCTAACCCAGAAATAGTACCTCGGGTTAAGAACTTTACCTCAGGATGAGAAAAGAAATTGCGTGGCGGCAGCGGGAGGCCCCATTAGCTAAAGTGGTACCTCAGGTTAAGAACAGTTTCAGGTTAAGAATGGACCTCCTAAACGAATTAAGTTCTTAACCCGAGGTACCACTGTATATATAAAATTAACACCATTCACATAACTAAAACTACCACAGAGATATCAAGTCCATGGCTTGGCTTTTGAAAAACAGGGAGTCGGCAGTACTTAGCTAATTGGGAACCACTGTTCTATGTTATAAACCAAGCACAGTTGCTTCTTTTTATTTTCCAGTGTATTTCTTATCAATAATAATAATAATAATAAAATGATGTGGTGCGAGCAAATTTTTATCCCGAAAGTGTGGCCCAGAGAGAAACGTTTGAGAACCAATGACCTATGCTCTTCCGTACACTCATACTCCTGTTTACAGATCTACCGAGTTGCCGGCTAATGTGGATAAATGAGGACTGGAGGAGCTTATTGACTTCTCCTTGGGAAAAGTTATGCAACCAGAGCTTTATGGGGGATTAACATGCAAGCGAGGTTGTAGAAAAGGCAGGTAAACAGAGGCAAGGGGAGACATTTTATTCTTCTCGAATGATGGACGAGGCCCTGTGATTCCTGGGAAAGAAGGAAAGAAACGTGAAACAGAGCCAATTCCGGGAGTGCTGATATCGGGAAGTCAGTGAAAAATGCTCTGGGTGTGTGAAAATCTCAGAACCGAAACGTTTTAACATGGTGCAGAGGTGTAAAAATCATTTATCTATGTCTCCCTCTCAAACTGCAGCTCTTTCTCCATTCAGACCTTAGAGCCAGGGCTGGCTGGGTGTACAGTGGTACCTCAGGTTACATACGCTTCAGGTTACATATTCTTCAGGTTACAGACTCTGCTAACCCAGAAATAGTGCTTCAGGTTAAGAACTTTGCTTCAGGATGAGAACAGAAATCGTGCAGCAGCAGCAGGAGGCCCCGTTAGCTAAAGTGGTGCTTCAGGTTAAGAACAGTTTCAGGTTAAGAACAGACCTCCGGAACGAATTAAGTACTTAACCCAAGGTACCACTGTATGCTGAAATTTCACAGAATGCAAGGTTGGTGGGGAGTTCTGAATGTGGTGTTGGTTGTTAGGTTTCATTTTTTTTAAAAAGCAAGTTTCTAGCTCTTAAGGATGTTAAGATATTCTTGCTGTTGTGCGGATAATCCCACACGCTAAAAAAATGTTGCTAGGTGATTTCCAAAAGTCAGCGGGGAGGACCCAGCCTTTCTCAACCTGTGGGTCCACAGATGTTGTTGAACTACAACTCCCA